CCGGAGAACGAATCGCGTGTTTTGTTACCACGAGCTTCCAGGACTAGGCGCCAATAATTTTTTATACTGTCAGACTATATAGGGTCATTTGTGGACAAAAAAGTAGGCCGTTGTCGAAGTTCAGGCGCCCTGAGTTGCTTAGTTAAGACACACCCAAAGGTTATTTTCGAGTGAGAGTACCCTCCGCTTCCCATTGGCATAAAAGAAATTCTGATTGCTTACTGAGTTCAAGGTTATCTAAACATTACGAAATACGAGAAGTTTCCCTTTAAGTGTTGCAGTATCGCACAATCATTTCCAGCGGGAATTTCTCAGCGAAACTTGAACCCTGGAGGAGAAATTTTAATGCTCTAAAGTCGGTAAAACTTTCAGTGTCTCTACGTTTTTGGAGCAGGACCTTCGAGCCTTTGGAAAGAGACCTTGTTTTAAAAAAATTCAGTTTCGTTTCGGGCAGCAACTGCTTTGCTTTTGAAGAACTTTAAAGGAAAAGCAGGTTACCACAACTAACACGTATAGATATTCCATACTTCGTTTGCCACTTGAAACTAAAGAAGGTGATCACATTAAGAGGGAGTCGGTAAGAAAATCTAATTATCAAAACGAAAATTATCTACGGGTAAACAAAGTTTGCAGAAGGGCTGAAGAGTTAGATAATTATGTAGCAGCACTGGTTATCAAATGGAGAGAAGGAAATGTTTTTCATTCGTGTTTTTAATTTGTTTTTTTTATCTGACCGCCCGGATAGGTTTTATTTACTTATCTCTGGTAGGCGTTCCTTTTGTTTCGTGCATGAACACAAGCGTTTACTACGATCATAATAGTTTACAAAGCGACAGGAAAGTTATTAAGATCAAATTCTCTAAGTATAAGCTAAGCGTCATTCCGCCATCTCATGTTCCGGCGATGGTAAGAGGTAAAAAGCGCCCGTTGATTTAAACTGAGAAAATGCTCTCTAAAAAATAAAGGGCAGAATATTGTATGATCGATGAAAGCCATCTAGATAAATATCACTTTGATTAGCTGCCAGTTGAAAGATACATGATGAAGTACAAAGCATAAGCGAAATTTTAGGCGACCGTGATTAATCTAAAATGCGATGTATCAAATGTTGCTCTTTCGACTGTGTTCATCCTTCGCGTCCTATTAAAGTGTTTTAAGGAGAATCAAATGCTTTGTTTCACTACAAAACCCTTCAATAGAGTGTCAGTGTACTCCTTGAATCAAGTGGTAAGTTTCTAAAGAAACTGGTGCTGC